AGCGGCGTATCTAGCCGAAGATCGTGGGTTCGAATCCCGCTCGTGCCATTGACTTTTTTTCATCTCAACTAAAAACCTTAATTAATTTTAGTTTATAGTGTTGCCGATGTAAAGTTATTATACTTATTATCATTTTAGTTATGAAGTAATCTAACTATGCTGTTACAACATAAAATTGGTAAAGAAAAGACCTTTCGAGATTTTCATTCTATACATCTGCTAATGTAATTTGGAAAGTTACTCATAGGATTTCAAATATGTTTTGTGATGTTATTTGATCCTACGTTGAACATCTTTTTGATCCTTTTCTCCTCAATGTAACTTGTTTTTTCATTTCTGATTTTATTGTGTGTACTTCCAGTTTAAGGAACTAGCACGTGATAAGAAAACCAAAGACTTAAAATATTTGGCACACCGGTTAATAGACCCTAGACTGATAATGTTGACATATAAGATTTGGACATCTCCATTTGCTAAAAATTCTAAAATGTTCAGGAATTATAGGTTTTCGAATATTTTATGCGAGTTCCTGTTAATAACGAGTAATTGATACAACTAGACAGAAATTACATGTATAAAACATCCATAAGATCCTGGGTTTGTTAAGTCTGCGATACGTGTGAAACATACGTGCTTGAAACAAAAGAATACAAAAGGAAGATGATTTATGGGAAATGGCAACACAACATTTCAGACAAGTTTAAAGTTAATGGGTTGATTCATAATGTACCAAAACGGCGGAAAAGGGCTGCAGTAAGAACATTTAGAAATAAAAAGAAAAAACATTCAAAACCCACACTAAAACGCAAATTTACAAACATTCAATACATAATAAAATACGAAAGTAACTAGAACAGGCAACCGGCAAAATTAAGAATTTTTCTAACAAGACGATTCACACCCTACATTTTTTGTCTCTTCTTCCTCAGTGAAGATGGCATAAAGGCGAAAAGAGTTTGAGTGAAATCTAAAACCGCGAGTGTACAGGAAGATCCAGCAGAGTAAATTGAGAATAATATGACCCCCCTGGTCTGCGACATCCGACGGTTAGTTCGGGATTCGCGTATAAATCTCTTGTATGATAGGCATTAGTTTAACTTTTTCTTAAAGTGACTCATCTTGTCAACAACGCACGAGGAAACCAATAAAGATGTCGAAACGCATTGTTTGACAGAAACGACTTCAAACCAACGAGAATACGCAAGATGATGTTAATGATAGGATACGATTATGTTGTAAACAGGTTATTTGGGCCGAACATAAAATTCGGGTAATTATGAAACTGGAATACTGCGTTAATTTTGCTATGGAGCTATTGAGGTAGTATGAACATACGTGAACGACTTTTCCATATTATTACAGATTACTTATAACGTGTGGTGATTATTAGTGACAGTTAGTCGATGATTATTCGTGCATCGTGACAACGTTTCGATCTTTATTGATATCATCTTCAGTGCCTGGGATTTATAAACATTGTTTAAACTTTACAATTACATGTAGGATGTGAAAAAAAGGATTTATGCAATGCTAGAAAATTTTAGATTAAAAAAGTTAATTTATACAATGCAATACTTCTCCGACGATTACTGCCGATAATTGAAAATTCTAATATTATTCCAGATCATCAGTTTGGGTTCCGCACATTTCACTCGACAACTCAACAATTATATCGTGTTGCTGACAATATAGCCTCTTCCCTCGAACAAAACAGCATTGCTTGGGTGTCTTTCTTGATTTAGAACAGGCCTTTGATCGAGTCTGGCACTCGGGCTTGCTTTGGAAACTGAGGAACATCCTCCCTCATACGTACTATCTTATACTGAGATCTTATCTGACGGATCGATTTTGTCGAGTCCGTCAGTGAACTGAATTCTCACATTATATACGCATAAGGGCGGGTGTTCCTCAGGGAAGCATACTTCGCCCTTTTCTATTTTCCATATAAACTGCAGATATTCCTACACACGTTAACATTTCGATACACACATTCGCTGATGATACAGCGATTCTTACACGCAATTCGGACCCCTCAATTAACACTCAACACTTACAACAACACCCGAATGAATTAACAATACGGTTCATAAAGTGGAGAATAAAGGTAAACTTAACAAAAAGCACACAGATCAATTTTACCTTACGTAAAAATGTCTGTCCTGCGGTGAGTATAAATGGAATTCCATTGCCTACCACTGACCTTGTGCGTTATCTTGGACTTTTCATGGATAAACGACTGACTTGGAATCCCCATACAAGACTGAAAAGACAGCAAACAAACCGACGTTATAAATTGTTAAAAAGACTACTCGACTCACGATCAA